TCAATTGAATAAGGATCTTTTCTTCTCTTTTTTTTCTTTCATTGAGATCATGAAATGATTGATGTTAGATTACCATTGAAAACCTGGAAGTAGTGAATGGCCGTTTCATCCTAGTATGGTACTCTTCATCAGTGTTGAATGACCAGTAGAGTTCAATCTATGTTGGGTAGAGACAAGTATCTCTACCTTAAACAATGAAAGAATGGTTGTTCATGATCATGAATTGATTGAAGTTAGACATTAATACTGTTGAATGCTAGTTCAGTTGTTTACAGGTTAAGTGTTTGAGTATGGGGCCAAATGTTTTCGGTTCGAGTTCATTCAGTAGGGGAATCGTGGATGCACACTGTTGAGGAGTCCTATATTAGAACAAAATGGTCTACAAGTACTTCCAGATTTTGATTAACAGTCTAACATTGATCGATCCATGATTTCACACAAAATCTTGTTATATGATCCTTATTGTCAAATTGAATTACAATTATAACCTAATACATAGCTTCACTTAATCCTAATAACTATATTTCTAATATCCTATAGATTTCTACATTTTTTCGAATATATATACTTTGCTTACTTAATTACGCCTGTTACTCCCAATGGAGCATAGACCGCCAACCAGCATTCTCTAAACTACTCTGTCCTGGGCATGCCTTTCTAGTTCTATACAATTTTTTTTTCATTCTTCGCATATCTGTCTCCATTTCTCAACGTAATGTATTCTTTGATCTTCCTCTTTTCCTTTGACATTAAGGATTTCAAATAAGGGTTTGCTTTGTGACGTAGTTGGATGCATGTCTAATCAATGTATGTCCTATCCACTTCCAATGCTTCTTCTTGATTTCTTCCTCCTCTGGGATCTGGTTTGTTCTCTCTCATATTAGATTGTTGCTGAATACATTATTTAATGAAAATAATAATTTCTACTTCTTCAAAGAACTTTATCAATATTTATATTGTTCTTGTACAATGAAAGGAACTAAAGTTTTGTCTGTCTGAAGTTTACTTTTTTTGGCATCTAGCCAAAAGTGGATTTTGTAATTTTGGCTTTAAATTATAATTAGTGATCAATTTTTTTTAAACTATACATGTTTAAATAATTTACATGATTAACATAAAAGAAACCATTCACATTATGTTGAACGGAATTATTATGAACAATTTTCGAGCGACGCTAGACTGAATGTGAGAGTATCCACCTAATAAATAGGACAAAATGAGGATTATAAATCTGTGTGAGGAATTTCGAATTATGATTTACTGTTGATGGTTAAGGTTAGGAATTAGATTTGGGGGTTTTTATCACGAGCTGACATTAGCTATATTTCTAAATGAATGAATGAAGTTCCCGCCTACATCCATGATCTGTTATCTTATATCTGATTGATTCATCCATAAATTATAGTTTTGCCAAATTATTTATTGAAATCAAATCAAACATCATGAAAACAGCCCTTAAATAAATTCACTGGGTATTGTTGTTTGCCTGTATCTTCCCATTGTTGTTTAGGTCTATAACTGATCAGTCTCTCTTATTGATACATATGCATACTGTGTGGGTTACCTTGATATTGCCTTAATTCGCAAGCGTGATAAGCAAAGATGGATAGTGGATAGCAGTGGAATCGAGGATGCATGTTTTGTTCTGTTTAGGGCTCGTCAGCTGGATATACATGCATTACAGAGTTGACGTTCACTTCGAGACTCGAATCCAGTACAATCGCATAGTTAAATGGATAACGTAATGGTGTTTGAAGAGAACGGTACTGGATTCGAGTCCCAGAGTGAATATCAACTTTGAGATGCAGGTACATTCAGTTGACGAGTCCTAAATAGAACGAAACACGAATCCTGAATTCCACTGATAGCCACTATCTATCTTTGCTTATCATGCTTGTGACTTTTTAGTACTCTATAGTTTTCAATTATTTTACGAATGAAATTAGTCCATAATAGGAACTATGTTAAAACTGATGAAGAATAGTTATAGATCAGGATGATGATATTGGAAATACTGTAATCTCTGAACTGGATGGATTGGTTAAGAAGATTTAATTGGTTTCTGAACAACATCATCAGGGTATACTTCAAACACTTCAAATGATGTTGGTAAGATAAAAACTGGAAGCTTATCAACCAATCCACCCTGATCTAAAATCATAAGAAGACCGATATCTGAAGACTAAATTAAGGAGAAATACCTTATTGTTTATGAAAACATCTTTACACATTTAATTATGAGTGAATTGCACCCATATTTTGCTACGTTTGGATACATCACCTCGATCGGTCAGAGGTGATTAAAGTGGTTTCGAATTTTACGGGAAATATCATTTACTCTAGGATTACATGTATTATTTGCTAGTGAATGTCAGCAAGGATAAAATGTATGTATGGAGGTTCCTATCGATCGTCTTTATTTACTTGAAAACATCAAGCTGCCTGGGTGCCGAAACCAAAGCAGGCAGTTTTCGTAGGGGGCCACACCCGGAGTCTTTGACCTAAAGGTCTGATCCACAAGGCAGTAGAGCAACGTAAGGAGATGCAGTCCCATGGTCGCCGGTGACCAACAATTGGTTCATACACCATTCGTTCCCTTAAAATCCTGGATCCCATGTGCACTATTGGTTTGTAATCAGGGTTTTCAAAATCACCTAGGTGGATCCTTCATATCCACCAATCTGGTCATTGTGCCAGACATTCGCGTTTGGTACTTTCAATTTCGTAAACAACACTCTTGTCACGAGAAGGCAGTGAGTAGGACGTCCCTGATAGGGTCTGTATACGCGTAGCCATATGAGATGTTAAAGACTTCAGATTCAAACGTGATAATGACTAGCTATTGATTATTTAATTCTCTTTCATGTCATCACAACAGAATCATCTATCTCCCCAACTGATAACCATCATACACGCAATCTATTCGATAAACAGATTGATATACATAGTAAAATAATACAATATTAGACTATAGTATATAAGAAGACATTTCATGCTAAACTGTTCTATTATCTTAATAGTTTGTATTGAATGACTTCACAAAGGATAGTCAAATATAGCGATGAATATACTATTGAATCTTTCTATCACAGAACATTATTGTCATTTCTTGAATGATTTGTGTTATAACTTGTGAACTGTGTGCCCTGTTAATGTATAACGTAATAAAAGAACAGTGACTTATCGATCGGACCAATGACGCATAAAACACGTACGAACAGTCTAGAATACTTATCGGTCCTGCTTCCCATCTAGTTAGTTAAGTCTAGAACATCAATCTCAGCCTCTACAATATGAATCGTTTATTTCAGACATATTGGGTTTATATACCAACCAGACAGACCACATCGTACCATAAAATAGGAAACAACATTTATACAAGAATTGACCAGATGTGACTTTGAATGTGGGAGATAGTAATTAATAGACTAGGCATAATTCAAGAATGGTAAATTGTACAATAATAGTTCACAGGTCAAAATTAAGCTCATAATAAAAGGGACATTCATTATGCTTATCAGGATATAACAATTTGATAAGAATGGGGAAAAAGACATGAATAAACTAATAACAGTTATTTCGGTGAGATTATAATTGATGCACAACTTTTGAGTGACACTAAAGTGACCTTGATAATGTCCCATCACTTACTAGGACTAAATGAGGATTATAAACAAGTGTGAGGAATTAGAATTAGGGTTTACAATTGATGGTTAGGGCCAAAATCTAAGATCTGTTATCCTAAATCTGACTGGTTCGTCCATCAGTCATAGTCTTGCTAACTAGATTTCATAATTTTATGGTCTTTTATATATTTTCACCACGGTAATTGTGGTTAGGGTTTGGTTTATTTGTTATGAAACTAGGAAATAATGTTTAGTAAGGCTAAATAATAAATGACTTAACAGACTTCAAATATAATATAGCCATCTTATCCTAAATCTTACATGAGCACGAACACATAACCTCTAGATGCCGGCTTAGCAACTTGCATGTTGAGTGTTGGCACGTGAGACTGAAGGTGCTGGATTCAATACTTTTTTTGCGAGGAATCGTGAGTGTGCACTTTTGAGGTGTTCTATACTAGGATGAAACAGTCCTCAACTGCTTCTAGGTTTTCGATGGTAGTCTAAATTTTTTTTCTATATTTGTTTTTATCAAATATCTAAACGAGAATTTTCAATATATATTAGGATAGTCATTCAGTCATTAATCTACCACATAGGACCAGGCACGTATATGAATCGGTCCAAGTTGCCATACCTCACTAACACAACAAGATGGGCACCAAATTCATAGAGGTAGTTACTTCAATGATAGTAATATACAAAAAAAAGATTGCATATAATGATATGATACAGGGAGAAAGAATTAGTTGGTAAAAAGAAAGGCAAAACGTAATTCTAATCTCACGGTTTAATGAAAAACAATAAGTGTAAACACCTACACCATTGTGACCGACTCTGAACTATGTCACCCAGAGTCACCAACCACTTGTAATGATAGTCCAGAGGACCCCAACCAAGTAGTCTCCATCTACCAACATGGCTAATACCAGAATATAGTGACTTCAGCGACTAATGCCATATTTTATTTTGGCCACCAGTAACTTTCCTTCAGCTGCCTCCAACACTAGTCAGTATTGCACATTGTGTTAATCGGTGGTTGGGCATACGTAACACATGGCCCAACCATTTCATTCGATGAAGATTCACAACCTCATCAACTGATTTACCATCATTTCCTAATACCCTACATCTAACCTCACTATTACTTACTCAATGATCCCAGTAGATGTGAGCAATATTTCTAAGACATTTGTGGTCAAATACTAACTAGTATCTTACGAGTATCCGGTAGTATAATTGAATGTTTTTAATGTTAGTAGTTCGATGAATAACTTCATTTCATAATAAAAAAACGATACAATCTTTTCATTTTATGCTGGTTAGTCGATTTTTACTCGTGTATTTCCTTTGTTCTTTTCTTATACTCTTAAGAACAATACTAGATCGTGAAATTCAAGGAACATATACATTCTATGCATATGTACATGATGGTCCTGATAAACCTATTCAAATAACAAATACTACTGTTAATAAAACTGAAATTCAACGTACTATTAATAATTATCGTTCACATACAGCTTCTATCATGATTACAATTACTATACAAGATGAAAATGATAATGATCCAGTATTTATTCGACCAAATTCAACAAATCATATGATATTATTGAATCCAACAGCTATACCTGGACAATCATTATCACAAGTAAGCTATGAGTTTATTTATTTTAACACATAGATATTGGTACAAAGAGGTACCAAATACATATGCGCCACACAAATCTCATTTGATATGTGTGAGGGCTGTGATACTGCTCGGGTGCCCAAACCGAAGCAGGTGGTTATCTTAGGGGGCCACCCCCCGAGCCTTCGAGCTGAAGGTCTGATCCACTAGACAGTGTAGCATCGTGAGGAGATGCAGTCTCATGATAGCCGGTGACCAACAATTGGTTCATACGCCATTTGTTCCCTCAGGATACTGGAGCCTATGTGCACCATTGATTTGGTTTGGGATCCGGTTAAAGCGTCGGACATTCGCTTTTCGTCCTCTCAATTTCGTAAACAACAGCGATGCCACGAAAAGGCAGTGATTAGGACGTCCCTGGTAGAGGCTGTATACGCGTGGCCATGTGAGAGTATTTTGAGAGGGAGAGCGGACTCTCCCCACTCTCGGCCGTACCAGGGCATTCGGGGGCAAGCAATGAGTATTAATGACACGTTAAAACGATTATCAAACATTAACTAATTTCTATAATGGTTTATATTTCAGTACTGTTAAATTTGATCAACTTTCATTGGGATATATAGGATTCTTGAATGAATTCCACGTTATTATCTGCATTTTTAAATTGGTTATATTTGAAGTGGTAACTAATTGTAAAGTGAGAAACCTGCGTTTTGTCCCATATGAGACTTGTCATGAAGATGGTGAATTAGCGGGAGTTAGATATGCAAATCATTGAACACCAACTCGACAGTTTGATAATTAGGCACCTGATACAGAGCATGAAATCTCGAGCTCCGATCCCTGTAGGACTAAGTATACATACTGCTGAAGAATCTTATGCTACGAGAGAACAGATATCCAGTGCTTTTTATTCCTGAGTGGGTCTCTAACTAAGATCAGTCTGTGATAGAAACCTCCAGCTGAGTGACCAACATAATCTTCTTATTTAGTCAGAACAAATTTTCATTTGCTGGTTCATCAACAGCTAATAACTTTAAGAACCTGGGATAATCTACAAAGGTACTAAAAATAAAAAAATTCAGAGGTGAAACTACATATTGAAAACAGTTTTTGGGAATTTTGATTGAGATCATGAATTGACTAATATTGATGGCTCTGGGTTCGAATTCAGCGAGCGGGATTGTGGATGCGCACTGCTGAGGAGTCCCAAAATAGAACGAAACAGCCGTCCAGTGCTTATAGATTTTCAATGGTGGTCTAACATCAATCAGTTGATGATCTCAATCAAAAACGTAATAATCTCCACAACCCTATACTGATAGTTTTCGGGAACTTGAAGAATTTTGAATTAAGTAAACGTACCTGTGTAACATATGAGGTTAATTGCATTTACAACAGCTCACTAGTGACATCTCTGACTATGATACTCAGTGATATGAGTTTTAAACTCGTTAGGAACACAAATTTCTTTACGATTCCAAACATATTCTACCGCGAGATGATAGCAACCGATGGTTAGAGACCCTGAATGACATGGCTAAAAATCGTTTGCAATGGCGCAGGTGCATACACTCTTTGTGTTCTCCCAAATCCTAATTTCCTGAATCCTCCTTGTCTCTTTTTTTCTCTTTCCAAATTTATTTCACTGGATTATACTCGGTGAATAACATCTTCAAACCCTAATCTTTCCGATTACTGCTTATACTCTTACCACCTATGTCACTACGGGATTTGAATCGACCACTGTATCTCTGTGCTAATGTTGCATGGCAACTCGAACTGGTATATGTACGCACGAAGTTCTACGTTGTTACTGACCTGACTGATGAGTCTCAAGAACTATGAAACCTGAGTCAATTATTTTCCTTAGATTGACTCTAACTACTTAATTTCCAAAGGCCATTAAAAGTCATGATTAACTGAATAAGTTAAAACAAATGAGTAAAAACAAAGAATAATATAAATTAACCAAACTTTTCCATACATAAGTTTGACTAAAGTAAAAACGAACGATGTGAAATAACATGAAGTCTTTTAAATTCATTTTGTATTGGTTGTTTAAATCTTCGTATTGATGTTAAGGACTACAATTGATCAGTCGCTTATTGGAATATGTGCACCTTGTGCGAATTGCCTTGATATTGCCTCAAATCATAAGCATTATAAGCAACATTATATACTAAGTGGATAACATGATAGCATTTGTAGCGAACGGTACTACATTTGAGTTTCAGAGTGAACATCAACACTGTGATGCAGTTACATTCACCTGATGGGTCCCGATTAGGACGAGGTGATAAGCGTCCTGGATTACTCTGCTATCCACCATCCATCTTTGCATATAATAAAGTCGTTTTATTTCTCAATGTTTTACTAGCTGTTTGCAGCTAAAACATAGTCTCATTAATCCTTAAAAATCCATATACGTTACATATTATCATGATATCAGTAAAGTTCTCATCAATAAAGACTAATCAAAAGTGCGATAGCTATCAATCTAAACTAGACAAATTAGAAAACCAAATCACAACACCTCTGGTCAATGTTAAACACTCGATTCAATAGAACTCATTACAACACGTCAACTTCTTTTATTATGATAAAGCATTCAATAGCATGGATAGAAACACCTTGTGAAGTCTTCTTTGGTACTATATAATATCTGGTAATATCATCACTGTTTTACGGGGTTCCTATGACTGATTAAATTGATAAGTTATCTATAGGGAATACTCATGGATGCATTGAAAATAAAGATTGATTATTAGTTTAGTGGTTGTGGAGATTATCAAGCTTTTGATTGAAATCATGAACCGATTGATGTTAGACTACCACTGAAAACCAGGAACCACTGGACGGCCGTTTCGTCCTATTGTGGGACCCCTCAGCAGTGCGCATCCACTATCCCCCTTGCGGGATTCGAACTCAGAGCCCTCAGTCTCGGTTCATGATCTGAATCAAAAACTTGATAATCTCCACAACCCATAAACTGATAATTACCATGTGCTCACTAGTGACTAGCTTCGTGAGAAAATTCTCGGAGTTGTGGTGAGAAGCCGTGACCAGTGGAGCTAATCCGTGTCTGGTAGAAACAGGTGTCTACCTCAGTACATTGATAGATGGTCGCGCAACTTTGTGGATTGGTTGATGTTAGACATTAACACCTCTGGATACCGGCCCGCTCGGTGGTCCATTAGGTTAAGCGTTCGCGCGCGAGACTGAGGTACCCAGGTTGGGATCCCACGAGCGGTATCGTGAATGTGCACTGCTGAGGAGTCCCACAATAAGACGAAACGGCCGTCCAGTGCTTCCAGGTTTTCAATGGTGGTCTAACATCAATCGGTTTATGATTTCAATCATAAAGATTAATGTCAGATAAGAGTGTCTACTCTAACCTTTGTTCACCGGATTATTAAGATCTATTTCTTTAGAGTAAATAAGTAGTTTAGTAATTAATTTTTCTTAGTAAACAGGTCGATTAGTTTATATACACAATTATTAATCTTGTAGGTGTTTTATTGTACAATACTGGGATTGTTTCTTATCTCACCTTTGTCATGATCTTTGAGCAATACACAACAAACACCTAATCAGACGTTAATATATATATTATCTATCTTAACTAACATGAACTCAGTAGCTGGATAGTTGAATACCTAGATGAAACATTACAATCATGGAACCGTTATGAAGCTCTACTGAAACGACAGGATACTAATAATAATAATAATGTACACCTAATTGTAACAAGGTCTATTTAAACATGTTTTTCTGATATTTATGTTAGAGTTGTTTACATCTATGTACATAAGAATGCATATGGATGTCCATTATTCATTACATCACTATATTTCATACCAATCAATCATTATTGAATATGGTTCACTATTCAATATTTGATTAAATAAACATTATTATTAGAGAGGAGTTTTGTGAAGATTGCAGTAATTTAATAATTGAATCCATGAGTCAATTGAAGTTAGACCACCATGGAAAACCTTGAAGCACTGAACGGCCATTTCGTCCTAATATGAGACTCTTCAGTAAATCACATTCACAATCCCGCTCCCCCCCCCCCGCGAGATTCAAAACTAAGACCTATCGATCCGCATGCGAACGTTTAACCTTTAGACTAATAATTCCGGCATCTATCAACTCATGAATTCAATCATTAAACATTAATCTTCATTATAATAAGTTAATTTCATTGTTTTCTATATACTCTATTCCAAATGTAAATTGAGAATTGAATAAATGAGCATAAAATGAAATGACAATTATTTGAAGTATATTCATAAATAATTAAAGAAACTATTTGTTTTCCATTAAATGTTTACTTTTCGGTTAATGGTATTCTAACTCATGGGAATAATGAAACTTAAATAGCAGATTCTATCATGCATAAAAGTATTTAACCGATTATGACATAAGAAAAAGAAGAAGAAAGAAAGAAAGAAAAAGAAGAAGAAATGACGAAGGTAAGACTATAATTTATGGACAAACCAATCAAATATGAGATAAGAGATCTTGGAATTTGGCGCGAAATTCATTCATCATAGGAAATGTCAATTCATGATGAAAACTTTAAATCAAATTCTTAACTCAACCATCAATAGTAAATCATGATTTGAATTCCTCATACTGGTTCATAACCCTCATTTGGTCATAGTTGTTAAGTGGACACTATCAAGGTTAATCTAGAGTCGCTTGAAGGTTATTCATAAATTATGATTTCACAATTTTCCTATACAAATTGATATTATCAGTATAGGAGTTGTGTAGATTATTAAGTTTTTGATTGAGATCATGAACCGATTGATGTTAAACCACCATTGAAAACATGTAAGCATTGGATGGCCGTTTCGTCTTATTGTGGGGCTCCTTAGCACTGGATGCTGGCTCAGTGATCCAGTGGGTTAAGCGTTCGCGTACGAGACTGAAGGCCCTGTGTTGGAATCCCGCGAGCGAGTTCGTGGATGCGTAATGCTGAGTAGTCCCACAATAGGAAGAAATGGCCGTCCAGTGCTTCCAGGTTTTCAATGGTGGTCTAACATTAATCGGTTCATGGTCTCAACCAAAACTTGATATTAGTCGAAGAACCATTGTAAACTAAAAAGAGTTGTATGGGATTTCTCTTTAATTTAGAACTTAGTATAAACAAAATTTCACATGAAATGACATCAAAGCTATTTAGATTACTATATTAATCATGATACTTGTAGATTATGGATAATATTGAGTTCTTATGATACACTAAGTGCTGAATTTCGAAGATAAAGATGATAAAAACCCATCAATTTCAACAATTGTACTATTAGCCAAATGTGATTTTACCTTCGTTCATAACTGCTTTCAACGTTGTTGAATCTATCAGTAAACTTCTTTTACTTGTCATAATACAGACATCCATAATAATGTTAGATAATTTCAATATATCAACTAATCTAGTTAACTTGTTTACTTTGCAAAGATGGACGGTGGCTAGTAATAGGATCCAGGACGCGCATTTCGTTCTATTTTGAACTCGCCAACTTGATGTATTTGCAACCCAGAGTTGATGGTCAATCTGGGACTGTTTCTTTTCGTAATTTAAGCGTTTTATTATATTGACCAATTGTTTATTTTATTTCCATCTAGTTATTAGCAATAGATCCAGACGAAGGTTTAAATGGACAAGTATCATATGCAATAAAAGGTGAAACAGCTGGAATATTATTCAATGTTGATCCAAGAACTGGATTATTATACTTAGAAAGTCAAATACCAAGACAATATATAACAAATAATAAACAAAAAACTACAATAAATAATCAAAGAAATGATTTGAATTATCCAACATTTTTACTAGGATTAGATGCATGTGATCATGGAGAACCAAGACGATGTACACATTTTCCAAATCTTCAGATACAGGTAACTTACTAATACTACTACTACTACTACTACTACTACTACTACTACTACTACTACTACTACTACTACTACTACTACTACTACTACTACTACTACTACTACTACTACTACTACTACTACTACTACTACTACTACTACTACTACTACTACTACTACTATAAATCCTAATACTATCAATACTACTACTAATAGTAATAATAATGATAACAGTTGCTTTGTTATGGAACAAGTCCTGAGTGAGCATCCACAAGTTTATCATGGATCAATTCTAAGACCTTAAGACAGTTCAGTGACAACGTAAACGTCAAGGCATTCAGTTTATATCCTATGTATTACATTTTTAACTTTGATCGATTCATGGATGCTCACTGTGAACAATTTCCACACTAAAATGAAACAGCACTAAATTCCTTTCAGTAGTTATCTAACCAAAGTAATTCCTTGATATAAGAATTCAAATAATTGCTTTTTTCTTAATTACTTACTTACGCCTGTTACTCCTCGTGAAAGAGCATAGGCCGCTTACCAGCATTCTCCATCCAACCCTTTCCTGGGCAATCCTTTACATCTCTTTCCACTTGTTATTCATCCTTTTTACATATCTGCTTCTATTTCCCGACGTAATGTGTTCTTTGGCTTTCCATTTTTCCGCTTCCCTTCAGGATCCCAAGTTAGCACTTGCCTCGTGATGCAGTTTGATGATTTGTGTAATGTATGTCCTATCCATTTCCATCGTCTTTTCCTAATTTCCTGTTCAGTTGGAAGCTGGTTTGTTCTATCCCACAGAATTCTGTTACTTATGGTATCCGGCCAATGGCTGTTGAATATCATGCGTAAACAACTACTTGTACCTTCTCGATGATGGTTGTTGTAGTTCTCCAAGTTTCAGCTCCGTATGGTACAACTGCCTTGACGTTCATATTGAAGATTCTGACTTGCTTTGTTCACTGATATAAATTTGCTAGCAATAAACAATTCTTGGTACTAATTATTCAATATTACAACGGATTTCTTCTGAACAAATATTTGACGTATAATTGTCATCCTCATCATTTTTAGTGTCTAAGGCGTAGCTTAACTAATATTTATGCTTCGTACTGAAATCTTGAACCCGACGACATACAGTAAAAACACATAGACTGTTGATATGGATTTATTTGATCATGGAAATAAATCAAAATTATTTATGAATATACCACTTTTAAGACAAAATTCATCAATATCAGAAGGCGTTTTGTGGATATTATAGTAATTTTAATAGTTGAGATGATAAGTCAATTGAAGCTAGACCATCAGGAAAAACTTGGGAGCACTGGATGGCCGTTTCATTGCATAGTAAGACGAAACAATCATCCAGTGCTTCCTTGTTTTCGATGGTGATCTAACTTCAATTGACTCATGATCCCAACTATTAAAATTACAAAATTTATTGTTAGTTAGATTAACAATCGGATTTGTTGTAATTGAACTGAGTTATCCTTAACAATAATAATCCAATGACTTACTGCATGTTATACAATGAAGCATGTATAATAAACAGATATTGTAGTGAACGAGAACATAAATGAAGACAATGGAATGTATTTGTACACACAATTACAGAATCTCTTACTAAATTCTGAGAACCATACACTAAATACTTCATTTGTAAATTGTCAATCACTCATCTCAGACTTCATTGTTCCGTTGTTTCTACACCAATCATTCTGTGTTCTCGTTCTCTCTCCTTCGATCTTTTTAACCTTCTGTCAACAGGCATTTCATTTTTAATGAGTGACACATACTACTTATATCTGTTGATATCAATAGCATACAGCATAATATATTACATCAGAAATAATATACGTACCTTCATGACTACTAAGGATCAAAAACTAGTTTGTTGAAATCGTTCATTCACCAGAGATAAGGATGTGAACCATTCAATTTTGAATCAGTAGCATTTCATTTATCACTTAATCTTGGGCTAGATTACATGTAGAATTATAGGTGAAGATAAATGATTGGTCATAAATCAAAATAAAATGTTGTTCCAGTTCCATCTTAATCTTATAGAGTTTTCCTGTTAATAACTTTTTAAGTATATCTAGATTGATTAAAGTTAAACATTAACACCGTTGAATGCCAACCAGCTCAGTGGTCTAGCATTAAGGGTTTGAATCTCGTGAAGCAGGATCGTGCATATGCACTGCTGAGGAGTCCTACAATAGGACTAAACAACCGTCCAGGTTTTCCCTGATGTTCTAGCTTCAATTGACTCGTGAACTCAATCATTGGTATTTAGATTCTTTAAATTTTTTTAAAATTATCTCTTTGTCTACACATAGATTCGCAGTTCATCGAACATTATTGATGAAGAGAAATCAAATGAATACAGACAAACTGATTTATCTATGAATCAACAAATGGATGATATTTTTATGTCTCAATCAAGTCATGGATCTGTATCATCATCATCATCATCATCAAATGGTTCTGGTACTTCAACTACTTATCTTGGAAGATATTCACTTGGTGAAATATTAATCATTGGATTATCTATATTCTTTTCAATATTAATTTTAATTATTCTATTTACTATTTGTATTGTACGACGTAGAACTCAACGAATATTACAGAATAATGAACGAATAAGTAAGCTGTTATTATTATTATCATTGTTGTAATATTGTTTGTAGTTGTGTGTGTTTTTTTCCCTTTCTATAATCAATATTTCGAAGAGTATCCAAGTAAAAAAGATAAAAACATACATTATCGATTTATGGTTAGAAATTATAATCAATAAATCAATATTATCTATAACCAATGATTATAGATAATTGACTTATTATCTAACTGAATGAATACAAAGATGATTCGTCGAATTGTAAGAAAAATGGTAAAATATAGTCATATTGAAATTATTCATATTCATAGTGTACTGTGGTATGTACTACTGATGTCGTCAAATATAAGTAGTATGTATTAGACATGAGAAATAGAATTCTTAATGAGAGAACAGGAAAATGAATAACTAAAAGTAACCACAATAACAACAAAAATGAAAGAATGATGAAGTTTAGAAGAGATAATTCAAGAAAGATGTGCAAATAGTGTACTTAGTGTATTGTTATCATATTTATCAGTTTAAGGGTTGTGGAGATTGTTTGTATTGAGATCATGAACTGATTGATGTTAGACCACCATTGAAAACCTGAAAGCACTGGACGGCCATTTCCACTTATTGTGGGACTCCTTAGCAGTGCGCATCCACGATCCCGCTCGCGGGATTCATATTTCACAAAGACAATATGCAAATTTGTATAATTTAATACCTGATCAAATCTTCTATCAGTACATTATATGCAAAGCAAATGTAATACATAGTATCAATTAAATTTGACAATATATTTGTATAAATCGGTTTTGGTCACTGTCTACCATCGGATCCACTGCTTTGTGGATAAAACTTTTAGGTTGAATGCTTTGGGTATGGCCACCTATGGGAACCATCTGTTTTGGTCTAGGCAGACAAATTAAGATAAGTTTAACTTTTAAAGTGATGCTCAGATTTTTACTTCATAGTTAGTATTGTAGTTCAACTAAAGAAAAAAAAACAATAAAATCCTAATACAAAAATGTCATCCAATAATAATAAAATGATATGGATTGTTTGAAGTTAGACATGAACACCGTTAGATTCCGGATCAATGATCTAGAGATTAAGCATTTGCACACGAGGTCGAAGGTCCTGAATTCGATCACCGCTTGAGAGATACTAGACAGCTGTCTAGTGAATCCAGGTTTTTCATGATGGTCTAGCTTCAAATGACTCATGATTTCAATCTGTGAAATTTCTAAAATCCTCACAAACCCCTTTTGATAAAAAAACAAACTTAGATTTACTCAAGTACATAAATGTTTCGATTGATTATTGAACATATCCTATTTCTTATCTTCTCATACTATTCATACCACCCCTGTCAATTTTTGATTTCCTCATTTTTATTCATTGTGTTCATTCAAATTTTCTATAATTTTTTATTCATTGAGTCACCGGAAATGATACATTATTAATACAGTAACAATAATAATAATCATAATCATAATAATTGCTATGAGGGGAAAGTTGACAAGCTAAATTTAAATGTCTAATTGTATATTCTTGTTCTGTATTTCTATTCTATCTCTCATTCTTTGTCTCTCCCCCCTCTCTCTCTCTCATTCCCCTTCATTCTATTGTATTCTATTGTTTTAATTTGTAAATTATTCACATCCGGTACATGTTTACTAAAAATGAAGAATATACACTTCCATTCATTCATTCATTCATTCATTCATTGTAAACTACAACAAACATACATACAATACTAACTGTAAATTAGGAAGAAATAAACAATCTCTAATTATTTTTCTCTTTTCTCTCTTTCTCTCTCGTTCTCATTCCTTCTCATTCTTTACTCTTGAAAAACTTTTGTATTGGATAAATGACCGATATTAAATATTAGTGAAAACTAGCAGACTAATATATGAAGTTTTCTATCGGTTTTAATGATTTTCCATGGTGATCTAGTTTCAATGGAAATCATGATCTCAACTATTGAAATTATTATAATATCCAGAAAAAAAAATCCCTTTTGATATTGATTAACATATGATTACTAGTGACTAACTTCAAGAAGTATATCCTGAATTTCTAGCAAGAAGTAGTAATCAATGGAATTCAACCGGGTTTCTTTTGTGATAGTAACTCACTGAAGATAATGGTGGATGTGTTGATCAGTTCCATGGATTGATTAAAGTTAGACATTATTACCGCTAGATTTCGGTCAGCCCAGTGGTCTAGAGGTTAAGGGTTTGCGTGAGAAACCGATAGGTCCTGCATTCAACTATGGGAGGCGAGATCATGAGTGCGCATTGCTGAGGAGTCCCATACTAGGACGAAACTGCCGTCCAGTACTTTCAGGTTTTCCACAGTGGCGCAATTTTGCGGGTTGGTTGAAGTTAGACATTAATACCGTTGGATGCCAACCAACTCAGTGGTCTAATGGTTAAGCGCTCGCGCGTGAGACCGGTAGGTCCTGTGTTCGAATCTCATGGGAGGCGAGATCATGGATGCGCACTGCTGAGGAGTCCCATACTAGGACGAAACGACCGTCCAGCGCTTCCAGCTTTTCCATGGTGGCGCAATTTTGTGGTTTGGTTGAAGTTAGACATTAATACCGTTAGATGCCAACCAACTCAGTGGTCTAATGGTTAAGCGCTCGCGCGTGAGACCGGTAGGTCCTGTGTTCGAATCTCATGGGAGGCGAGATCATGGATGTGCACTGATGAGGTGTCCCATACTAGGACGAAACGACCGTCCAGCGCTTCCAGCTTTTCCATAGTGATCTAGCTTTAATTGACTCATGATTTTAACTAATAAAAACGATAAGAACGGCATAATTTCAAACTTTATTCTTTCATACTCCTGGAACAAATTATCCCCTTGATATATTTCTAATATCATGAATCATAGATAAATAACAAATGAAACAGTAACACAACTACTATATCTTGTATCCATTACATACTATTAATTCATAGACATTTACAGTAACCAAGACCTGAAAGTACCAGATATCTATGTTGTTTATGTCTACAAAATTATTGATTTTTTTTAAAAAATTACTCAATACTTGATTAGTTACACTTTATTACTGTCATGAAAAATCGGAATATTCTCATAACTGATTAAACGATTCATTTAAGCAGAACATAATGATTGAAAAAAAACAAAAGAATAATTCATTCATAAATAATAATTTTCATCCTTGATTAATAAACCATAAACAATATAGAATTAATCTATGAATGATTATACAAGTATATACTACTTATAAATACTTAAATGTAATTCTATCATTGTCTATCATTGTAATGAGAATCATATGTATAGTGTTATATATTGACTGTCATATTGATGAATTGTAAAGTTGTATTGATGTTAATAAATATGACATACATACGCGTTCATGTGTAACACTAATATATCCAGGGTTCGAATCCCGTGCTGAGGAGTTCTATACTAGGACGAAACAGCTGTTCAGTATATTTATCATCAAAAAAGTGAAAGCACTAGATAGCCGTTCTGTTCTAGTAGAGGACTCTTCAGTAATGAGCATTCATGTTTTCAAATGTGGGACTTGAACTGTCCAGTGCTCCAAGGTTTTCCATAATGGTCTAGCTTTTTATGACTAATGAATTCAGTTATTATATAAATGTTTAGTGAATGACCCACTATTTAAATAAATAAATAAATAAAACGATAATGAAGCTGAATAATTAATTTTCAATGGTAAATAATCCATAGTTATATAATATACCCTTGTGAGCCAGGGTAATTTTAGATTGGTTTTCAGGAGAACCAGACACCGTCCGGACTTTCACGTGACAACCCAACACAGTACAGCCCAATCGCGCTTCACAGGAGAACCAGACACCGTATAGGCTTTAACGCTACAATCTGAATAGTACAGCTCAATCCTGTAGCGCAACCACACAGGTACCAAGCACCCTGATGGATCAGGTAATTAATTATTATTAGACATTAGAAATAGGTTATTTGATGAAATGATGAAATAATTTAAACGCTCATTTCTATGATTTGTATAAAAATAAGTAATATATAAACTTAGAACTTGATTTATTTAAGTCTGTGACTGAAGCTGGGTGACGTGGGATCGAATCCGACACGGAGCATCAGTCCTTGCACGATTACAGGTACACTTTGCTGACGAATACCAAATAGCATGAAACCTGGATCCAGGGTTTCCTGTTGACTACCTTCAAACCACTATCTTATCTCAATATATTACACGTAATGTCGAGTCACCTAGACCAGTGGCTACATTACAACTTGGTCAATAGTATTCGATCTACACTAAGAAGGACCTAACACACTTAACACTGATCACCACTCAGTGATCAATCAATTGAGAGTGTTTTTCAGTTCGAATTAACAATTTATTTAAGAAACCCTAATAAACTATAATCACAATTTACTTTTAATAATGTTATACATTCAATAATGATGAATGTCTTCAAATTTCGCCATGCGATTCTCATATTTGCCTGGAACTAAACAGTTTTCTTTAACATTATACGTGCTAATTTTAAAATTAGTACTTAGTCTAAGATCCCGACCGTGGTTGCTACCTTGACATGATGGTCGGGCTTGCTTATCGTGATGAACGATCAGGCTGTTATGTCTGGAACAGTCGTTCCTCAAGGTCCTAACATATCAGCCAGGCAGATCGGTTGAAGAGCGGTAAGACTAAAAGTAGCAAATTCAAGGTCCGAGGGAGAAGCTTTACTGCTGACTGTACAGACGTAAGAGTGCATTAAAGTGTTTCTTTCAGACAACCAGTATAACAGTGATGTTGCGTTCCCACAAGGAGGGATGGGGTTAGGAAAGATCGACCCTAAAAATACACATCTCGCCTTATCCCACGGAATTCTGTCTCCGGCTGTAAGGTCTCAACAAGTATGGAACTAACATGAAAATTACTCACGAAAATATCGTGTGTAACCGACCTCAAGCAGTTGTACTTTGGGCACTGCGGTCACGCTCTCAGGTCACTAAGAACACCGCTAAACCAATATCCTTTCCGGGT